ACAGCAGGGTCACTGTCCCTGTCCCCATCCTGCTTCACTTGGGATTTGGGGAGCCCCGGCACCCCGGGAATGGCCTTGGGGTGGGAATGGTTCTGTTAACTCTGGGGTTCTGGGGGGGGGGGGGGGACACTGCTCCCCTCAGCGGCTCCCCCTGCGGGCACAGAGCCCTGGCGAGGGGACAGCTCTGTCCTGTCACCGTGTCACCGTGTCACCGTGGCACCTGCTCCTTCCCAGCTGGAGCAGTGTCAGCTCCCTGGGACACTCAGCTCCAGGCTCTGGGTGTCCTTGGGGACAGGGGGTGACACTCACAGTGTGACAGTGGCTCTGGGGGTCTTTGGGGACAGGGGGTGGCACTCACAGTGTGACAGTGGCTCTGGGGGTCCTCGGGGACCTGCCCCAGCCATGCTTTGTGGTTTGAGGAGCTGGAAAGCCCCAGTGGGCTGAGGGAGGGGACAGGGGGACAGGGGGACAGGGATTGTCACTCTGCTCCCAACACACTTTGGGGAAGAACGGCGGCGTTGGGAGTTTTACTCCTCAATTATCGCCTTTATTCCCTCCTCTTGCTCCGTGTCCCTTTGGGAAAGCACGAGGGGGCTCCCAGGGGTTTCTCTGACGTTTATCCCGAGGACAAGCAGCGACTTTTCCCCCTGAGCCCTCCCGGGAGGACGGGGGGAGCTGTTGGCAGCCCTGGAGGTGCCCATGGATCAGGGATCAGCCACGGCTGTGCCTGGACAGCGGTGCCCGCGACAGAGCCCTCCTGGTGCCAGGACCTCCAGGCTGGTAAACCCGGCCTGGACCCGGCTCAAAACCCCCGAGCCTGGCACAGCCCCTGTGACAACAAACACCGAGCCTCCTGTGGCTCCTTCCCTGCTGTCCCCGCTTTGCTCTCCCCAAAAGTGGCCACAGCCTCCCCTGGCAGGTCCCGTGGTGGCAGTGCCACCGAGCGAGCGCTGGCGTTGTCACCCAGCAGGGCTGGCACCAGCCCGCAGCCGTTGGGGGACCTTGGCCCCGGATCCTCGGCTGGTGGTGATGGAGGAGCGGGTGAGTCACTGTGCTGGGGACACGAGGGGACACGAGGGGACACGAGGGGACATGAGGGGACACGAGGGGACACGAGGGGACACGAGGGGACAGCAGCACCAGGGCGTTTGTTCAGCCCCTGGCGTGAGGCCGGTGCTGCCCACGGGCAGAGTGCTGGAGTTAGGCCATGGATGTGCCTCACCCCGTGCCCTAAAAGGCTGGATTTGGTTGGTTTGGATTAATTTCAGTTTGGATTTGGTTTGAGTTTGGATTCGGTTCGGTTTGGATTCGGTTTGGTTTGGATTCAGTTCAGTTCGGATTTGGTTTAGATTGGATTTTGTTCAGTTTGAATTGGGTTTGGGTTTTACTTTGATTTCAGTTTTGATTTGGTTTGGATTCAGTTCGGTTTGAATTCAGTTTGCTTTGGATTTGTTTCAGTTTGGATTTGATTTGGGTTCAGATTTGTTTCACTTTGGTCTGGATTTAGTTTGGTCTATATTTGATTTAGTTTGGATTCAGTTTAGTTTGGATTCGGTTTGGTTTAGATTCAGTTTAGCTTGGATTTGGTTGGGGTTTGGATTTGGTTTGGGTTTGAATTTGGTTTGGGCTTGGATTTAGTTTGGTCTGGATTTGATTTGGATTCAGTTTAGTTTGGGTTCAGTTTAGTTTGGGTTCAGTTTAGTTTGGGCTCAGTTTCATCCATGCCACAGCGCTGGCACATTCTGGGACGGGCTGGGACCGCTGGTGCCATCCAGGGGGCAGCGGGGACATCCCTGAGCTGGTCTCTGGCGCTGGTCTCACCCCAAACGGGTGCAATTGGGATTTTTGGCAGCGCCCCGCGGTGCTCCCGGGTTTTTCCGGAGCAGGGATGGAGCCCAGCGGCCTCCCCGTGCTCCGCTTCCTTCTTTGGAGCTTTCTTGGAAATGTCAGCCGGATTCCTTCCCTCCCTCCCTCCCTCTTTCCCGAGGATTTCCTACCCGCCCTGAGGGCTTGGGATTCTCTTCCCAAAGTCCAGGCGGAGCCCAAATCCTGCTCCCAACCTGTGAAGGGCTCCCCGGGATTTTTTTTGGGGGGTGCTGATGCCCTGCGGGGTCCGTCCGTCCCCCGCTCCCCCGGTCCGGTGTTTGTGCCCATCCTGGTCCCCGGGATTTCCTCCCGGTGTCACCTGGGGAAGGGACAGAGGCGGGGAGGAGGGGACACACCCGGGGATGGGTTGGGGACACCCAGGGATGGTTTAGGGACACTCAGGAATGGTTTTGGGGACACAAGCAGGGATGGCTTGGGGGCACCCAGGGATGGTTTGGGGACACCCAGGGATGATTTGGGGACACATGAGGATGGTTTGGGGGCAGTCAGAGATGTCTTGGGGACACCCAGGGATGGTTTGGGGGCAGTCAGAGATGTTTTGGGGACGCTCAGGGATGTTTTGGGGACACAAGCAGGGGGAAGGGACGCAGCCGCTGAATCCAGGGCAGCGCCAGAGCTCTCTCAGCTCAGCGCGGCCGCTTCCCTCGCTGTGACACCCGCCCTCCCCGCTGCCCTGCCGGGCTGGAGGGGTCCCAGGAGCCCCTCACCAGCCCTCCTGACCCCCCTAACCCCCCCCCAAAGCCCCCCGAGCTGCCCGTGCCGCCCTTCCCCTGCCACCAGCAGCATCTCCCGGCTCCGCACCTGGGCTGGGGGGAGGCGGCTGTGCCGCGCTGCCCTTCGCCTCTCCTCTGCGGGGACGCGAGCGGGAGCTGTTTGTCCCCGCTGTCGCCTTCCCCGCTGGCTGCCGCACACCGGGGCTGCCCAACCCCGCCGCTACCGGAGCCACCGGATCCCCCCGGAGCCCCTCCAGGAGCCCCCCACCCCCCGGAGCTCCGGCACCGCCAATGCCACCGGCGCGGGGCACGGGAGGGACTGGCACGGCTGGCACAGGACGGGCGCAGCCCTCGCCCACCGCCCGCGTCCCCCTGCCCGCTCGGGGCTGCCCTGGTGGCCCGCGCTGTCCCCTGGCAGCGCGCTGGTGGCCGCTGGCACCGGCCGTGGCCAGCGCGGTGGCGATGCCGGGAGCCGGGAGCGGGCGCTGAGCCCCCCCCAGCCCGGGAGGGACCATGCTGAAGTTTCGGGCGGACCGGAGGGTGAGGTAGGAGCCCCCAGAGATTTGGGGGGAGCCCCGGGGGACCCGCGGGGAGCCGGCGGTGCGGGACCCTCGGGCCGGGCAGTGGCTGCTGCATTGCAGTGCTCGGGAGGCGATGGGGACTGGCGAGTTTTGTGGAGCGGGGGCAGCCCCGGAGCGGCTGCCGGGAGCGGCTCCCGGGAGGTTCCCGGCTCTTCCCGGAGGCCGGGGGTGAGGACGGGGGTGGGGTGGGGTGGGGTGGGGGGAGGCAGCGCGGTGGGTGCCAGGAGGAGCCCAGGGAGCTGCGGAATGGGGGAGTCCTGCCCGCAGGGAGAGGCCAGCCTGCGGGGACAGGGGCGGGCAGGGAGTGGGGGGACACCCAGAGTGGGGTTCAGGGATGAGGAGGGACACCCAGAGTGGGGTTCAGAGATGGGGGGTGACACCCAGTGTGGGGTTTAGGGATGAGGGGACATCCAGAGTGGGGTTCAGGGATTGGGGGGGACAGCCAGCGTGGGGTTCAGGACCCCCGGCGTGGAGTCCAGACCAGCTGGTGGGTGCTGGCAGCGCCCACTCCCCACACCTGGCACTTTCGGGGTGCTGCTCTCTCAGCATTTCACCCTCCCTGTGCATCAGCGTCACTGCGGGGATGGGACCTGCCCCAATTCCCGGGATTTGAACCCCCCCGGAGGCACTGCCAGGGTGACAAAACCATCCGGGAGAGGCTCCAGCCGTGTGGCAGAGCCCCCTCGGCTGCGCTGGAGCTTGGCCCGGGCACTGGGGGTGACTCCGGGCACTGGGGGGGTTTGGAGAGCGAACCCCCCCATTTATGGGGTACACACACATCCCCCAGGTTTTTAAGGTGCCCCCGAGCACTGCTGGAGGGAATCAGAAACCTGGGAGGGCACAGGGTGGGACTGAAAAGGGCGGCAGCTCAGTGACAGCAGCACTTTTTGGGGTGCCAGGGTGGGATGGGATGGGATGGGATGGGATGGGATGGGATGGGATGGGATGGGATGGGATGGGATGGGATGGGATGGGATGGGATCCATGGTCTTGGCAGCGGTGTTTTCTTGCTCCACCTTCCCCGGTTTTGCTGGCAGGCAGGAGGAGCTGGTGGCACGGGGGTGGCTCCGTGTCCCGGTGCCCGGCGGGTTTGGGAAGGAGGGGATGGGGTCCGGTGCGAAATTCCCGGGATGGAGCCCTGAACTCAAAGCCTCGAGGTGCTTTGGAAATGGCTCCGAGAGCAGCCAGGGGAGGAGGTGACATTGGGGACACGGCTGCAGGCACAGCCCGGCATGGGCCATTGCTGCTGCTGCTGCAGCGACCTGTGAGTGTGGCCAGCGGTGACAGCTGGGATGTGACAGCAGCGGGAAGGGCGGCTCGGCCACCACAGCCCTGATTTTGGCAAGGCTGGCCCTGCCTGGGCACTTCCTGGGAAATGCTAATGAAATGTTGGAGTGTGCAGGGAAGGGGATGGAGCTGGGCAAGGGACGGGGGGGCTCAGCCTGGAGAAAAGGCGGCTCAGGGGGGACCCTCAGGCTCTCCCTGACGGGAGGGGGCAACCAGGGCTCCGCTCGCCATCCCTGGGAGTGACCAGTTGGGTGCGTGTGGCACTTGGGGACACGGTTTGGTGGTGCTGGGTTGATGGCTCGGCTTGGTGACCTTGGAGCGTTTCCCAACCTTAACGATTCCGTGATTCTGTGATGCCGTGGAGGATCCTAAGCGTGGGATTAGCGGGGCAGGGGAGGGGACACCAACCCCGGAACCAACAGAGGAGCAAACGTGGTGCTAAAGGGACCCTGTGGGGGACTCTGTGGGGGCCATGGGGACTCTGTGGGGGACATGGGGACTCCTAACACCCACCCCATCGCTGTCCCCACAGCCACAATGAAAGGCGGAACACCTTCCTGCACCCAGTGACGGGACAGGTCCCCGAGGACACCTCAAGGCTTGACTTGCCCAAGTAGGTGGCCCAAAATCCCCTCGGTGCCCAGCGGGGTGGGATGGTGGTGGTGGTGGCACAGCTCCAGGGGGGTGCAGAAGCACAGAGCCACTGATCCCCCCCATCTGTGTCACAGACAGAGCTCGGACATGTCCAGCAAGGCGAGCAGCAAGCGGCCGGCCACCGTCCCCAGCGAGCCCCCCAACCACGCCATGGTGGCCGAGGTGCCCCCGGAGCGCCCCGGAGGCCGGGTAAGTGCCCAGGGCCGTGTGGCACGGCTGTCACCAGCTCAAACAGGGAATCAGAGACCCCAACCCGGGCACTGAGCATCTCCTGTCGCTCCCTGCAGGCTCCGCGCTCCTCCCGCAAGGGCATCGCCTTCGGGAAGCGCTCCAACTCCATGAAGAGGAACCCCAACGCCGCTGTCACCAAGAGCGGGTGGCTCTACAAGCAGGTATCCGCCCCGTGCCACCCCTCCCCGGCCCCACAGAGCCCCAGGACCGCTCTCACTGCCCCTCTCTCGCAGGCCAGCTCGGGGGTGAAGCAGTGGAACAAGCGCTGGTTCGTGCTGGTGGATCGCTGCCTCTTCTACTACAAAGGTACGGCCACCCCCCCAAGCGTCACCAGCACAAAGTCCCAGGCTCTTTCCGCGCTCCACCCTGGTGTTTTCCTCGCCGAGGGGTTAATCCCGAGCTTTCCCCGCCTTCCTGGCAGCTCCCGAGCTCGGCCCGGGGCCGGCATCAATAATTGAGGAGGTTGTTTGTGAGGCAGGCAGAGCTGCGGGGGCAGCAACAGGCGGGGAGCCGATCCCACAGGTGGGATCCCGGGGGATGAGGGGGCTGTGCCGGGGGTCCCTCCGTGGGTGTAACCCCAGGATTTCCCCCCCCCACCTCCCCCAGACGAGAAGGAGGAGAACATCCTGGGCAGCATCCCCCTGCTCAGCTTCCGCGTGGCCGCCGTGCAGCCCTCGGACAACATCAGCAGGAAGCACACGTTCAAGGTCAGTGCCTCTGCCGGGGCTTGCAGGGGACAGCGTGGCCCTGGGGTGGCGCTGGGGTGGCGCTGGGGTGGCGCTGGTGATGCTGGCAGGGTCCCTGCTGCTCTCGTGGCTTTCTTGGTGGCGGCGCATGGAGCACGCTGGGGTGACCCCCGTGGATCTGCTGGGGAAATGGGGACAGGGCAGTGTCCCCAAGGTCACCGCCCCCACTCTGCAGGGCTCTGCTGGGGGCTCCCACCCCTCTCCTGCCCTGCTTTCCCCTCTCCATGGCTGCTGCTCCCCTCCCGGAGCCGCGCACGGAGCTGTCCCCAATTCCAGCCCTGGTTTAGCTGCTTGACTGGCAAGTGTCACCGGGAAGGGGGGAGCCTGTCACCAGTGGCTGCTGTGGGGCTGCAGAGGGGAGCAGGGAGAGGTGACAGCGGCTGCTGCTCCCTCACATCCGGCCCTGGCAGGGTCTAAACTTTTCTGGCACTTTTTTGGCACCGCTGGGCACCTCTGGCATCACCGGGCACCTTCCCCAGCCCGGCTGCTCGTGGTCGTGGGTCACTGTGACACTCCCTGGTTGATCCCAGTGTGTCCTCCCACGGTGCTGGGGTCCCCACGGGGCACTCCCGAGTTTTTCCCAGTCTAAGGGAGGGATTTGTGTAGCTGCCCCTGCTTAAACCTGAATTTAGGCTCAGCTGAGTGAGGTTTAGCGGGGAGGGATGGCCATGGGTCACACATGGGGTCTGCCCTGTGCCCATGGTGCTGTCACTTTCTGCAGGTGACAGCAGGGAAGTGACATGGGGATGTCCAGGGAAGGGTTTGGAGAATCCTGAGGGGAAGGGGCTCAGCCTGGAGAAAAGGAGGCTCAGGGGGAATTTGTGG